GCACGTCCTGGCCCATGGCTCCCGGCGGACTGGTGTGCACCGCCTCCGTCTTCAACATCGTCCTCATCAGCTTTGACAGGTTCATCTCTGTCACCAGGGCGGTAAGGCTGGGCGAGCGGTCCCGAGCTGGGGAGGGCCGGGAGACAGGAGAGCCCCCAGCACGGAGCTGGGAGCAGCCACACTGACCGAGGATGGTCTGCAGGGGCTCTAAGGCTGCCCCTTAGAGCAGGACGTTCTGCTTAGGTCACCCAGCTCTCACCCCGAGTGGATCTCACCCAGACACCACAGGAGATACGGGATACCTAGATAGTTCGCTTTGATCTTGGAAATATTTCCAGGAGCAAAAGGCTTTGCCAGAAGAGAAAACACTTGCCTCTCACTTTCACACTGGAAAGAGTTACCTTGTTTTAGAAACGGGCAGTTTGCATATGCTTCTAGCAGAGCAAAGGGAGCAGTGTGCATTTATTTCCTTGCCAGCCATGCCTTGAAGAGGTTCAGAAAGTATTATGCAGCTGTAATGGACTGCTTCAGCCATGAATAGTTCCAAAGTGGCAGAACACAAATTAAGCCACTGTCATCCTTCAAAGGAAGGAAATGCTATTTCCATTTAACAGCTGCAGAAATAACTGGAGCCTTACCTTGGTCATGCAGCACAGCAGTGATCAAAGGAGAATTAGATTGGCCTTTCCAAATCCAAAGCGAACTTCATTTCTCACATAGATCATACAGCCTCTAAGTGTTTTAGATCCTGTTGAAATAACGTTTTATCTGCTGATAAAGAGGCTTCAATTTTCTACACGCAGCTCTTGGTTATTCGTCATGCCCCCGTTCCGCCTACATTTCTTGAAAGCATTTATTTAGCTTCATTGCTCATTACAAATCACATTAAGAAGCAATAATACTTTTAGCAAACAGTACAAAGAGAGACTGCAAGATCACTTAAACAGTTTATATGCAACTTACAAGTGTTTTTCCAACTTCTTTTTCAAGAGGGAGAAATGACCAATTAATTCTTAAACCTCACTTAATGCCTTTATTTTCTAGGTACTGAATTCGCTGTGAATTTTATCTTCACAAACCAAACTCTCATGACTATACACTTAGTACAAATATATAGATTTGATAATTTCAGAAACAGGGAAACTGGTCACTTACTAGCTGAAGAAGTTCAGTCTCTTTCAAAAGTTTCAGATCAATAAAAGTCCTTCCCAAAGCAAGAGTACAGAAGCTGCCTATTGTGTTAGGGCAGTATAAGAACAAAAACATACAAAGTTCTAAATTATTCTCTATTTCAATGAAAGTTTTAATCTTCCTACAAGGCTGCTCCTGAAATCATTAATAATTTTGTCATGATTCAGAAAAGAAATCTGAATTTCTCAGCTGCCTGGGGAATTCTACTAGAATACTATTGGCTTGGGAAATCATGGTCCGCAGATTCAGGCAGTAGACATGAACCCTGAATGCAGAAATCAGGTTTGAGACTCCCATGTTCCAAAATGGCAGGGAAGTTCACATATAAAACTAAACTAACCCAGATCCCTTGCTTGTAAATGAAAGTAGTATTATTTGTTGCTTCAGAAATAAAACAAAAAGTCCACAGTGCTGGCTGCTGTAGAGATGTGAAAGACTGAATTCTGATTCATCATACGCATATTGTCCAATAGACCAAGGAATTAGAATGCTGGGAATCAGGATGTTCATTTGTGATTCTTCTCAATTCTATTACATGTTTTATTCGCTCACAATTACTGACAAATACTTTTAACCTTTTTTCACCTTAGATTCTCTACTTTATAAACAAGAGAAATTAATTAGTCTCCCTGTAAAGCATTCTGCCAAACACAACACTTCATCTATAAGTCTGAATTGCAAATGTGTTGTGCACATAAAAGAATGAAATACCTGAAAGAATGAAATTAAGGAGATCACAGACAGAAATAAAAGCTTTTATCCATTAATTTTTTGACAACTTTCACATCTTAAGTTCTGTATGGAAAGCTATCTCTATACAAAACAGGAATGTAAGATTTTGCGTGACTATTCTGTGAATTCAGATCCCTTTGTAGAAGTTTAAGTCACTTAATTTAAAATGCATATGTGAATTTTTGAGGGGCCATGTTTTTTAAATATTCTGTAAACAGGCAGCACAGAATGCAGCAGAATACATAACTGGTGACAACTGGTTCTAGGAACTGCAGTGTTATTTGCTTTAGAAAAGCCTTGGTTTTCTAGCTTTTAAGATCTCAAAACACATACAGCCTTCTTGATGATGATGATACTGATTGTTGGAATGGATATTGCAGAAACACCTTTTCTTTGGTACTAGTGAAGCTTGGTATGACCCTCACCCTCAAGCCAATATATTACTGTCAAAAATAATAGAGGGGGCTGTATTCCAACGTTCCCTTGGAACTGTTTGACGTATTACTAACATACACGACTTAACTTTTCTCTCTCAGGTGAGTTACAGGGCTCAGAAAGGAATGACCAGAAATGCAGTATTGAAGATGATCACTGTATGGATTGCTGCTTTTCTCCTCTATGGTCCAGCCATCCTCAGCTGGGAGCATGTTGCCCAAAAAAGCATCCTCCCTGAAGGAGAATGTCATGCAGAATTCTTCTACAACTGGTATTTCCTAATGATTGCATCTACTATTGAATTCTTTACACCTTTCATTACTGTTACATACTTTAACTTACGTATATACCTCAACATAAGGAAGCGCACATCCCTCAGAAATGAAAACCTATCACCTGGTCAAGACGACTGTGAAATGAGTTTCCAGGGGAAGAAAAGGGAACACACCATATTTTTTGTAAAACCTGCTAACAGGCTCAAACATGAGAAGAGAGCAAACAGCCTTTCTCCCCCTAAACCACAGGCTTCAAAGCTCAGCCTACATAAGCTTGACCATCAGTCGTTAAATTTCAATGTCAGTCAAGACTTTCCACCACTTCAGATAGATGTCAAGACCAAATCACATAGGAATGGTTTATACAGAACTACAGAAAGCGTATGCAACACCACAAGCAGAGGGGACACTGCTAACACCACGGCAAATAGATTTAGACTTTCCCGGGATAAAAGAGTGGCAAAATCATTAGCAATTATTGTCTGCGTCTTTGGTTTGTGCTGGGCTCCATATACGCTCTTGATGATCATTAGAGCAGCTTGCCACGGGCACTGTGTGCAGCATTCACTTTATGAAACTTCGTTTTGGCTTCTGTGGGTGAATTCAGCCATTAACCCTGTTCTATATCCACTGTGCCACATGAGCTTTCGAAAAGCTTTTCTAAAACTCCTGTGTCCAGGAAAAGCCAAAATTCATCCTCATAATTTGATGTGAAAAAAAAGGAACAAATACCAACTTTGAGGAAAAAAAAAATGCATCTTGCTTTCAGTGGGAGCATAAACTGGCTCAGTGCTCACCTGTAAATGTTAAATGCAATGAGAACTGGGTACTTCAAGGGAATATTGGAAAGTAGATACAGGTGTAAATCGATTTAGGAATGCATAGAAATACAATCATCCATGTTGCTGGAGAAACCACGTGTAATTAAAACAAGGCTGCTATTTGTCAAAGCTCTTTGGGAAATTATGCCAACAGCAGAAGTCTAGTGCACCATCACCAGAAAGAAAAGTGCCAAAAAGAGTAGAGCGTTCATATCAGAGTTAGATTTCAGGTTCTCTCCCTTTTAATAGTTACAGGTATTACTAGTAAGGAATTTCATTAAGTGTTAAGCCTAAGGCCTGCCATATTTTACTTCCAACCCTGCTCTATAAGGTTCCCAAGGGTATCAGCTGTGAAGGGTAGTATACTATTTTTGGGAGGCTACTGCTCCAGTCCCTGCAACATTAACAGCTTTCTTCCCAAATGGCAAGCCAGACAAAATGGTCACTAATGGGAAAAACTAAATACTAATGACCAGGAAAAGCATGGGGCAAGAGGCAACAGAACAGTCAAGTTCTTAGAGAAGCTCAGCAATTGCCAGCAGGTAAGGGAGCACAGATTTGGGTGGAAAAAGCTGATCAAGAATGAGAGCAGAATTTTAGTAGAACTGAAAAATCACGGACAGGAACCTGAAGGGGGTTTGAGCAGCAATACAAGTTCAGAGAGCTGGGAGCTTGCGTACCAGAAAAGTTACAGGGGAAACTCCCTCGCCTAGCTAGGGATTCCTGACCCTTCTTAGTGGAGGGGCTAGGATGCTGCATGGGCAGGAGTTTACTCATAAGTCAAACTTTTACTCCTTAGAGAGCTGCCAGGTATTATTGTTCTTCTCTCTTTTGCTGTAACTCTATAGTAAGACTAATTAATCTGTAAGCGCTGACAGAGATCTCACTATGACAGAGCATAAAGTAAACATCCCTTGGAATAATTTTTAAAACAGACTCCAAATTTAGTTTTTGTTATTTCTATTGCACTTTGAAAGGAACAAAGGTGTTGTTTTTTGCCCACCTATTGGATCTATCCATCCATCAAGTCATAGATTGTTTAACAGAATATTACTCCAACTGTCTACACTTTAAAATGATGCCTATGAACAGCATGACCCACAGTCTGTTAAAATTGACAGCCCTGCTATTGACCATAGGTGGCAAAAAAGTTTAGTTACTTATACTCTGGTTCCTGCTCTTCTGCCTCTACCACAAGAGACTCACATAGCTAGACCTCGAGTGCTGTCTAGATCTGTCCCGCACAAGAAGTATCAGTTTGAACACCAACAGTAAGAAATTTATCACCACCCTCATGAGCATCTTCTACATGGTTTGAGAAACTTCCCTTTGCTGACAAGTGATAAGTTACTGAACAGCCATAATTGTCCAGTGCCACAGCCAAAATGCATGTTAGATCAATTGATCTCAAAAGTATACATATTTTAAATTTCATTTTGTAAGAATTCAATAAAAGTAAGAGCTGTGCAAGAGACTTAACTGTGTAGCCTTTTACACATGGTAAAGGGAAACATCAGTCTAGTAGTTTCACAAGCCACCTTTTTTCCAGTGCACTGTGATACTTCGCTTCATCTAACAGTAGCTTCTGTGCTGAATGGTAAAGTTAATGATCTTTCCATACCTCATGACTTCTCTGTACCTCCTAACTGAGTATTCCTAGCTTAAGTTGTCATGTTTTAAAGTAAGGCCATTTCCTGCCTTCGATCACCTTAGCTGCCCACCCTTGAGTTTTTTCAAGTTTTATATCCTTTCCTGTGAGACGACCAGGATTGCACGTACCAAAAATAAAGGCAGACCACAGACATACACAGCAGTAGAACAGTTTGTGTACTCTAATTCTTAGAATTCATAGGATTATATTTGCCTTTTCAAGGACAGATGGTGAACAGTAAGTTATTAGGCCTCCCCCACGAGTATCTTCCATTTCATCATCCAAACAAGGTAGGATAATTTAACAGCAGTCAACTCAAGGAGTGATGAAGTTCAAGTCAGTCAGCTTTAGAAATTTAAATTCAATTAAGACAAAACAGACACGTGAACTAAGTCTTCAGCAATTGGTGTTAATTACAGACTAGATCAGTCTTCACACAAGTTGCCATCAGTAATTGTTCTACTACTCCAGCTTCTAGACCTTTGTTGCCACTTGTCTGTTTAGCACAGACCTAGAATCCAATAGGATTCTCCATCACTCAGTATATCAGAAAAGCATTCTGACACATGAACGTTCTTCCAAATACTGCTGAGAGGATATATGTTAGTTTTGAATGATTACCCCTACCCATTAGAACGGTTAGCAGCCTCCCAGCTTGTCCAAGTTAACTATGCCTTGGTTCTGTCCCTCCAAGGCATAAGTTACTTTGCTTTTAATCACAAGGTGGTACTAGGTTTATCTGTGGGCTCTGAACAGACATGAAACAACAGATGTTAATAGCAACTTTATTGTTTCACTGGTGCAAAATCATGATACTGAATAAACTTGTGTAATGCATTTTCCCCTAAATTTACAGTAATGAAGGTTATACATATGCTATATAGATTGCAATTTCTCTATTTGGAACAAAATTATCTTGATAAATATGCCCTGTGCACAGTACTGGCCCTCACCGAGTCTCACAGAGCCTTAATATGGAAAATATAGCTTCTGTTTTTGAACATGGTACTTTAAAACTCTCCAAACATGCATTAATATATTCTAGTTTTTAGGGAAAAATATTACACTTAGTCTTAACTTGCATTAAAAGAAAATGCACAAGCGGAATCTGACATACAGTAATCCCAAAAATCTGATGCTCTGTAAAATCAGACACAGTTTCAGATGACAGTCACTGCCAGTTTAAAATTCTAATGCTACAGAAGCAACAGTAAACAGACAGAAAAGAAAATGGAACTGAAAGAGCCCTATCGTGTCACATGGATTTCAAAGAAATTTTCAGTCATGCTAACTGATGAAACCTGTAGTTGCTGGTCCAACTTTAAGTTTGTTAGGGCACTCAGCACAAGTGTTTGAAGTGCCAGACTGAACACATGAACGTTAACATGACATTTCTGAAAGGCACAATCTATGAATCTATCTTAAAAAAAACATATGGTACGTAAGTGAAAAGAAACAAGTACAGTGTGTATCTTCTTTAAAGGACAAGACCTTCATAAATTGGCCCCTCGGATTCCGGCGATTCCCTCCTCAGACGCAAGTGCTCCAGTGTGTTGTGAAAGTGTTTGTTAATTTGTTCTGTTTCTTCAGTAGACTCGAGGTTTGGGAGATCTTCTCTAATCTTCTGTATGAGCTGATTCAAAACCTGAATTGTCACCTACAGGAGAAGATATACAGAATCAAAAACTGTCAGCCAGACCACTGCACAAGTGCATAGACACCTGTTAACTGACTTGTCTCTGAACTATCAGTACTAGTTCTTAACAGTATGATTGACAAGACTGTATGCAGACAAACTGTGAGAACCAAGAGGAGGCAGAGTCCAACAGGACACACAACACTGATTTCAGAATTTTTTAAAGTGACCCCACGACCCCCAAATGTTAAGAGCCTGTTAAGTTACTAGCCCGACAGCTTTGGGACTTTTACTAAACCATTTCTCTACAACCATTTATTCAATATATAATAAAAATCTTTAAACAAATAAGTCACTTGGATTATATTAGAGTGCATAGAAAAAAATCCATTTCCTTTAGACATCAGTCAAGATCACAACATCAGATTTAAAGTACAAGTTATTCTTAGGGACCTAGTCATTCCCTAGGAAGGCACGGCTTTCTATGGTACCAAGACCAGCATTACATAAAACACCATAGCAGAGTGCTGCAGACCATCACTGTATCCAGAAGCTATTCTTACAAATCTGCTGAGTGTTTTGTAATTCAGAATTTCATTTTAATCTCTATCAAATAGCATCGCCTACACTACAGGAACTGAATTGGCTTCCTGCTACAGCAGAGCTCTAAATTCATTAGCAAATCCCTAAAAATCTCTCTAGGGATTCTCACTACAGGGTGTTCATTAACATCTGCTCGTGATCAAATGATGACATAGGCAGATGTGGATCTGTACTTGATCAAGCAGTTTTTTCAAACTGAGTAAGCTTGCTAGTTATCAACTAAAAGGTATGAAGTAACTATCTCAGATTTCAGATGCAAAACTTAAGCTGGTACATGAGAAGTCTTGTCAATTTCTAGAAATTAAAGCTCACACCAACCGCCTGGCACTCTTAGCAATGACCTTAAACGGCTGTAATAATTTTCCTTACCTTAATATGTATGAAGTTAAGTATTTCTAAAATTAGATGGGAAAGTTGAAAGACTAAGTCCAAGGTGGTTTTGATGTAATAAATACTTCAGTTATCCATGTCTCACAATTTAAGTTCAGAACTAGATTGCAAATATTTTTTCCTTCCTTGGAAGACGGTTTTTTTGTTTTTAAATAGCATACCCTAAATTGACTGTTAGTATTGCCAGAACGTGCCTCCCATGAGGGACTATAAAGCGAGTTGAATAGGCATAATTCGGGGTATAAAAGTGAGTAAAGAGCATTCCTTGAAGCTCTTTATTTAAAGAATAAGGTATTCTCACTTACCGCCTCATTTTCCTTTTCATAAAAATAGATGTATCTATTCAAAATTTCTATGAAAAGCTGGACTTGCAGAGAAGGGTCCATGCATTGATTTGCTATTTTTAAAGCCTTTTTCAGGCATTCCATCACTCGTTTTCCTCCATGAAGCTAGAGGGAAGAAACATCATGTTACAAGAAATAAAAACACCTTAGTGAGTTCCAGTAGCACCTCCCTTGGCACGCATATGACACTTCCTGGTGGTCTGCCACAGAAACAGACTTCACAAAACTACATAAACTAGAAAAAGCTGTCATTAAAAGCTTACCTTTCCTGGCTGTTACCAGCTTGGCTAAGCTTTTTACTCAAGTCAGACAATAACACGATGAGAGTTGATGAAAGCCTTCAGTTATCAAATCTGGTAAGTTCCATTTTGTAATAATAGCTATACAAGTGCACACTCTGAGAAGCAGAGCTCACTGCTCTTTATTGATACAACTCATTTGTTTGAAAAGCCCTGCAGAGCACATGATTTGTTTTTGACTTCAACAACTTGTATCTTGAATTTGAAGTACAACACACAGCTACATGCACAGACATGTGCAAGACAAAGTCAGCATCAGACTGTCCTTTGAGAGCCAGAGTCAAACTAGTTGACTGTTACAGAAGCTTGCATGGTACTTCCACTTCTAAACTCGAGCTTTTCCACTTTCTATTTAGATAGTTTATACTGTAGTGAGATTTAGAAGCTTCATATTAGAATACATTCCAACCAAACTTTTGTCACTAAGTCATACGCACTTTAGAAGGGAGCCCCTGCTATGTTTGAGGTAGACTGTATCATGCTGTTGCAACTTTAGTTTTCTTACCTCTTCTCCATTCTTGTCAGTGTTTCGGCCAGACCAAAACAGATGGGCACAAGTGCTCACAGCCCGGCACTGGTCTGGCTTCTTGAGCAGTTTAGAGGCTGCCAGTGCACACTGAGTCCTCAAAGGCTCGTGGTTCTCCTCACTGAAGCACTTCATCCTTTCAAATGTCCCAATTATCAAGGTGATTGCAGCCAGCTGTGCTTTTGAATCACTGATTTCATCTTCATACAGAGAAAAGGCCTACTCAAGGGAGGAAGAAAGTCTTAATTACTGCTTTAAAGCGACATTAGGGGAAAAAAGCAGTTGCTAGTGACATTACAGTACAGCATCTACAGTTTTAAATTCATTAAATAATTTCGGCAGAAAAGAGATCTTTCATAGAATCAGGTTAAAGCCACAGCCTGAAAAAAGTCTGCAAGAGGTACGTTTGTTTATGAACACTTAAGGACAAACTGGTCCTCAACTTCAATCTTCAGATCTCATGCATCTTCAGTCAAGCATCTATTTAAATAAGGAACTTTAGTAGCAGAAATAGTCCTTGAAATGGATTTAGTTCTTAAGACGACAGAAAACTGTACAGCAGAAATTGTGTTAGGTCAGAGACTAGAGCATGTATGAAGAGCGTTTGAACTGCTGCTTGTGTGGATGAGGCTTTCAAAGAACCCACAAGACAAAAATCTTGGACCATATCTCTAATAGAAGGTATGTAATTGTCATGCTACTTGTCTCCAAGGTTGTAGCACAATGCCAGCTGATATAAGACAGTGAAAAAAGCCACAGGGTTATCGGAGACTCAGTTTAAGAATGTGCATTAGTAGCAGTGTTAGAAGAAAGACTGTGACAACACTTGCAACTTGGATAACATGAACTGTGTTGGTTCAATATCTGATGGGAGGAGGGTCATGGTGAGGTATTTGAAACCAGTAGAGCTTAAGACTAATAAAGTTACAGGTTAAGTGGATTTTCAGACAGTAATTTATAATAGGTCTCAACACAAGGAGGATTAGCAAAGCCCAGCATGATAACTGTGAACACTGCTAATCTCAGAGACCTTGAGAGGGCTTGTGGTCAGGACAGTAACAGCTAGACAGAAGGAGCTGGGAGAAGGTCTCAGAAGCAACAAAGGAACATTTATGTTGAGAAAGCTATGTTCCTCCAGTGAAACGACTAAAGGAGTAGGAGGCAGCATTGCAACATACCACATTTTGTCAGACTGAGTATTCAAATCAGCAGCAGTGGAGCTTCATTCTTGCTTCCCAGGCTGCTATGGAACTAGGAGCAGGAATTTCTACCTCGTAGTGTTAGCTGTCAATCATTTCAGATTTTTTGTAATCCCACTAGAGGGTTAAAGAAACTGAATCTGAAGGCAGATTTAAGGTGCAAGAAAGTGACTATGATAATTGGACATTCTTACCTGGGACATGAATTCATAGGCCACAGTTTCATGATTCTCAAAGCCAATTTCTCCTGCAGCCAGTGCTCCTTGAAGGAAGAGCCGGAGAGGCAGCTCTGCCAGTTCTGCTTTGATCAGAGCACTGATGGTCTGATGAGCAAATGAGAAGATCTTCTGGCACTTCTTTTCCCATTTGTCATCCTTGGGAAGTGAAACAAACCAAAGCTTGAACAAGACCATTGGAGTATGTAACAGCTCTTACTACAGTATAGACTTTTTCCCTTATAGCAATCTCATTTTCTGCATGCTACCCCAGTGAGTTATTTACTGGGGTAGAAGTGGGCTGGTATGTAAGCGTCCTAGCCAGTTCCGTGCTGACTTCAGTGGGTATTCAAAGTATTTCTTCCACTTATAAAAGCCTTACATCCATTTTAACCTACGAGCTCATAGGAAACTTTCTCAGAAGTCTATACTTACCACAGCTGTGCTTAGAACATATATGAGCAAAAGCC